TTATTAGATCAGTTCGTTTTACTGAGCCTTCTTTTACACATCATTTCGTTAGTTTACGAATTTTTTGAAGCTAGCGCAGAAAACTTTCTGTTTCGATTTTGTAAGTGCGGACATGTTACTCATATAATGGATACTTAAAGAACATTTATACTCGATATTTGCCAAGCATTAGAAATCATGGATAATCGCTGATGGACGGCTCTAATCTTTGTCGCATTCAATTGCATGCTGACACAATGTGGTGTTGTTTAGCGAGGTCATGGAGTGCTTACGGGAAGAGTCAAGTAAAATTTCGATGCTGCGCACAACTGTCAGAAGAAAAAATCGATGACGTGAAAATTGGGTCACGACATTTGACAAACCAAACAATTAGATTTTTGGTTTCCACGTTTCCGCCGTTTGTTTGGTTTTTAAAAATTTCAAAAATATTCGCAGATGTAAAATATAATTAATGCTAACGGGCGACGATCATGTTTCGCAGTTTGCGTTTGTTTGTGTGACGAACGGAATGCGCTTTCAACCCGATCATGGTGAACACGACGCAGCGTTGCAGCTTCAGACCATAGAAGCGATAAACTTCTCTAAACAAAACAAAAAATTTTTGTGTGCTCGTAATAAGTATCAAATTTCATCTTCTCAGCAGCGCACCCTCTTTGCTAGTTAATTTTCGCACAATTTTTCCATCACACTTCCATTTTACGATAGTTTTTATTGCACGGCGAGAAATGTGCAATGAAGCGAGAGCATAAGCCAGCAGAATCGTGAAACAATCATAAAACAAATGAATTGATGCGTACTGAACAACCTGAAGAGAATCAGTCAGAAACTCGATAGAAAATTGTTCTTCGACGGTTGAAGTCAAAGAAGTCAAATTGCAAAGTCAAAGTTGGGCCGAATTGTAGCAAACAAACTCCAAAAAAACCCCCAGCTCGAGTGCTTTCCGATTCGGAGAATGTATTTTTAGTTTAACAATATGGCCTCGAATATTAATGTTGCTTTTTTTCATAAATTTGTTCAAAGGCGCCGTTTGCAGTTTTATAGGCCATTGTCGAAGATCCGCTCTGAAATACCATCTCTCAAGCCTAATGGGCGTAAGCAATATTATAACTATTTAAAGCAACACAAATTTTCCAAGTTATGGGAAAAGTTTGAGTCCCAATTACTTCTCATAAAACAATTCCGCACATCTGGTGAAGCAAGCGGTGATTTCAGACGCTATTTGTAAACTTCATGAATTAATCCGAAGTTTTTATGTCGATAGCTAACGATTGAATTCACTCTCCAAACGTTTCGGACTGGTGGAAAACACTCATCAGTAAATCCAAAAATGAAAGGCCCGCAAACGCACCATTATGCTTGAGAAGTTTCCACTGAAGTCTTAGAAAAAATAATCAATTTCTCAGCTTTACCAGAAGCCATACCGATTCGTGAGTTTCAAAATGCGATAATTTCATTCATGAATTGAACCGTGATACATTCTGTTCCCGTAGATCTTCTTCCTGATGACTCAAGCATTCATCAATTTCAGCTACCTGACTTTTATCAACGAAACGTTGAGTATACATTCAGCAGAATTCGATAAACTCTCAATTCTCGGAATACTTTGAAGTTTATTGCAAACACTCAACTTCGTCAACTCTCAAGCAGGTAATCATTTCACTGAATCCATCTAATTGAACGGTTCGATTCATATAATTATCTTTCAATATAGCATATCATCTGCAATTATCTGGATTCAATCAACGTCTACAATTATTAAAACTGAGCGTTCTTGAATGTTCTTGACATGCGGGTTTCTTTTTACAATTGGAATTGTATGTTAAGGAAAAAGCAGCTTGTCCTCGAAGATAATTAGAGGTACGAATCAAAAAAGCACTCATATTTCATCATGCACTTGAGTTGTTTTAAATGAATGCTCATTGGTCACTTGGCTGATCATTNGGTTAAAAATCAACAATGCGAGTGGGTTTTCGACGAGTTTCGTAATCGGATGAATGGCTAGATGATCTTGTTTTGAAATACGATCTGGCTAAGCTTTTGTGAAGCAACAGAGGTGTTGATGGGTTTTGAGTTTCACTGCAAGGTAGTAAAATGGTTGTGAGCAAATCGCACAAATTCTCACAGCCCAAAGAGCACATTGTTTGAAACCCATACAACCGAGGCCAACAATCTATGACTAAGAGCATAACACTTCTTACTTGAACCAGAATGTGGTGTCCTACATTAAAAATTCTTTTATTTTCATCAACGAATAGAACCAACAATAATCGATGTTACATCAGCTTTCATGCATCTTGTTCATCGCAAGCTCAACACTGAAACTACCAGATATGAAGCGTCGTCCGTCTAGCCGTATGACAGACCGTCATTCACTCACGCCAACTATCTGCGTGACCACAATCCCCTCCTACCTTTGACAATCTCTTACTCATCATCAACAAATCAAAAGAAAATCAGACGATTGATCTATCAACTAAGAAGATTACCACGAAGAATTTTGTCTGCGATGGTTACATGGCACTTTGCCGCTGCTGTTTCGCTATCGCCCTACTTACGAGTAGTACATGATCAGAAGAGGATTTCTTAGGGATCGTCCTGGTCCCGTTCGTAGTGTCAGAGCAGTGAGTTCCTCGTTATCAAACTAACATATTGGAAACATTCTTGGAGAATTACGGAAAACTCATTCGAAATATCTATCAGTAATCATCTATCAACTTCTTCAATTCTCCTTTGACATCGTTAAATTCCCTTGGGAGATTTCTTCTNNAGAGGATAATGTAATGAAATGTTGCCTAAGCAATAAAACGTGATCGCCTAATAAAGTGAGCTGCAGAACTATGAGAAATTGCAACACGAATGTTTTGGTGTGATTGATAATTGTTACTTGAAATGAGTTTATATGACAAGACCAATGTTTTTGATCAGTCTAAAGTTGAAAACGTTGCGATGCGCAACACTTGGCCGATTCACTGGGTGATTACCATTGGGAATTACTTACGAATATTGAATACTTGTATTCGTTACTCTTTAAATCATTAGTGGTGATCGCCTCATTAGTCAATGAAATATTTTCGCTTAAACGAGAGTGTCAAATGAACAACATTCATTGCCTAGCACTTTCTTTCATTCATTTGCACACAACATGAATAATACACGGGACTCACTATTTATTCACGATTAATTGCATATCGCTTTCAGTTTTTTCACATAATTCCGTTCGTTCAACGATTCTATTTCGTATTCATTCCCTTATATTGTGACATGAAGTATTCCAAATTATGAATGTTTTATTTGTTTTGAGTTCAAAGGTGAAGGGATCGAAACTGAAAACGTTTCGTTTTGTTGAATAGAAACATCGCGAGAAAAATAAATTCTTTCGGAGACTACTGGTCGCTTCAACGCAGTTATAATTGCAATTAATTATGTCGCGAAAGAATGTTCGCACTATGGAAAACTGGCCATATTGCACACATTTTCAAGCAAAGAAAATGAAAAAAGCCACTATATTCGCAACTGTCGAATTACAGTAAGCAATCAATGGGAACAAACAAAATGAATGGATTATAACAAGAGCAATAAGATGAGAAAGGATTCCACGATAAGCTGATGTTAAAGGAAGTTAGACAGCTGCTCAAGTTCAAGCAAAATACGAAAACAGCTCTAGACGAGATGCTGTGATTGAAATTGACCGTTCAATAGCTATTGCTTCTGGTTTCATTCATGAGGAAAGTTGGATACGCTTCCGTACGTTCTAGTAAGATGGATGAAATAGGACAATGAAAAGGCACAGAAATGATTTTGTGTATCCGCCAATCTATTCATGTTCGAGTTTGACACATCACAACGACGTGTAGCCAAGCTGAACAAATTAATCATTTCTTGAATATAGATGCCGTTTGTTCAACACCCATTCGTTGATCTTACGAAAGTGGGAACACACTAAAATTTGTCAAACATTTCATGCACTTACAAATGAATTTTTTCTCTGTTCAGCACCATCTCCTCAACTCTTAATATTGTTCACCAAATTTTCACGTTTTGTTGTCTATGACAGCTATAAAATAGGAAGTTCAATATGTTTGTCGAATGTGAATGTAATTAGACGAAGCGAAATCAATATTTCGAATGATGCGCATTAGGTAATGTGAAACCAATATAGTCCTAAACGAACAAAACAGTCTTACTTTAACAGAGCTATTCCAGGTAAGCATCACAACTACATAAAACAACAATCGAAAGACTAATCGGAGCCAAAATTCGCATTCAAAAAGTGAGAATATGAAGTTAGATTAAATTTTTGTGCTTTGATTAGAGCATTTTTCAGCGAATAAACCTCATGAATGTTGTGATTGATCACCACGATAGGAAAGGAGACGGTTAAATGAGGGAAGAATAGAAGAACCAGAAAAGCATTCTGATGAACGTTGCATGCGTGATCATCAAATTTAATTTACTATTGAGACACTAACACTGACCAGTAATAACCCTCTACATTCAGCAAGTCACTAATTAGTGGTCGAATGAGATCGCATCACAAACGCGACGGATATAATTATTATCAATAATAGGCTCGGGATTAATTTAGCTGAAGTATCAATGAATAAAATGTTGCTCTCATAATTCTTCCGAACTACGACGTTAGTTTCCATGAGATATACGTTGAAATTCATCTCTTCAGTGGTCGTTGATCACCCGAATTATCTATCACCTTCAGATGTTCCCTCGAATAGGGCAACACTATGAATGTTGCGGTAAATTTCTATCGAGAATCGATAGATTGAATAGTGGATCATATATGATTCTCGTAGAGGATAGAATTATGCATCTGCTGATGTGCTGCCCTGGCACGCACAAAAAAAGACATGAGAAGTCAAAGTAAAGTAAATTAAAGTGATACAACAACATTTCAAACATTTAAGCACACTGATCTCAACAATAATTCTTAGCTATTATCAATGGTTTCCAGAAATTTTCTGTTTGAAGCAGTAAATGTGAAATTATCACGAAGCATTGATTTGATATGCTTGCTTGATTTGTTCGGCGGGATCAGAGGCAAAGAACGAGCGAATAACAGCATCGACAGGTATTAACGACAGTGTTGGTAGCAGCAAAACGATTTTTGCAAAACGAATCTTCGCACCATCGAAGGAAACTGCATTACCGCTGAACGCTTCGCAATTCGCCAGCACGAATGAACACTGCTCGTGAATTGTCCGAACCATCAACGCATTATCCAACCCGCTGCATTCTGCAAATTTCGTCACCGCTTAGTCCAGAAGCATAAGCTAATGAGAGTTTTATATCGGGTCCAAATCCCAAATCAGAAAGTGTGGCTGTAAAAACTGATCCTATTACACAAACATGATAATATGTACCAATTATTATGCCAGGCCGCTTCTCAGTCAATAAACATTTGACATGGAGCTGAGAGTAAGAAAAACTACTGTAAGGTTTACACGATACAAAAATGTTTGATTATTTCATCGCTTACACCACTAGTGAGGAACTATTTTCATGGAAGATTTGAAAAGAAGAAATTCAGCATGAACATGTACCAAAATTGAATACAACAAGAGCATTCAAGCACCACATCTCCAAAACGTTCAACTGCAATTCGTTCAGTATTCTTGCAAACATTTTGATACGATCATCATTGACGTGTGCTGGAAAGTTGCAAATATAAATCCATGAGACCTTTCTCATTAATGTTACATCATTTAGCAGATGAACAATAATCAAAAAAAGTCTTTAGTATCCTACTACGTAGCTGCTACAAGCAAAAAATAAACAATAAAATTCAGGTCTAGCATCTCGCTGAGCAGAGTAAATCATTTTGAGACGTTTCCTCGTTAGTTACTTTGATGTGATGGCATTCAGCACTTTGCATTGAACTTCCACATCTAGTAACCAGATGTGCACTCGACAACGACCGATTCGAATCATGTCTGTCAGTGCCGTTTAGGTTCTACTTCAAACTCGAGTTGAAGTTTTGAGAATCTGATTCTATCACTCTTGCACACTGTTCAATTTTCATGACATTTTCATCAGATGGAAAAGACAGTTTTATTGGAAGTTTGTTAGTAAGCGACCACATGGAAGGAAACGTAAAAGTACCACAATGCTGATTGAATTGCGCTGAATAATTGACGAGGAATAAAGAGTGCCAGCAGTTGGCGATGAGAATGCGACGATCATTCAACGACAAACTTGTGAACGGTGATGTCATGGTGAACCATTTTATTAAGACACTCAAATATATCATGGTGTTCGGATGGTTTGGTGTCGAGCATCTCGTTAGACGTTCTGAAATTTTCAAACGCTATCACTAGCGATCGAGTGAATTCAGTATTTGGTGTAGACGAAAATGCTCCCGAAACGATATCGGTGCTACTGTCTTCAACGAATTATCAACAGTTAGCTGTTTTGCTGCCGATTTTTCGGAGAAATCTGAGGACGTGGAGGAACAATAACTGGTTTCTGAAATTATAATGATGAACAGTCCGAAAAGTCATCGCATAATCTGCATAATTTTGTAACGCATCGCTAAAATTGTGATTGCATGACAAAATCAAAATAAAATGTCGCTCCTTCGTGTAGGATAACACGAATAGAAATGCTTACCAATGGAAAACTCCTTTGAAATTTTCTTCGAGCAGCTGGGTAACGCTGATGGCGATATGACCATTGAATAAATTTCTGCTCTACAAAAGATTTTTTAAATGATATGAGGACATGATTTATCAGCACTGAGTTGTTATCATAACGTTGCTTCATCAAAAAAATGGGATATCGCAGTGCATGTGAATGAATTACTCACCTGTTCGTTGCAGACGGTTGCGTCCTCAATTGAGGTGTTTTTGACAAAACGCTTCTTTCGTGCTGCACTGCTGAAAGGGAACGTGATTATTTGTTTCTGAAGCATTATATCTTCAACGATTCGATCTTGACTACATCAGCTGTTGTTCTTACAATGCAAGGCCGNGATTATTTGTTTTTGTAGCACTATATCTTCAACGATTCGATCTTGACTACATCAGCTGTTGTTCTTACAATGCAAGGCCGAAATCCTCGTCATTCTTCCTCTTGTCACGATAGAATATCACCCATAATATTTCAGTCTTATTAACTGTTAATTTGTGTAAGTAAACGATCGTGTGCGCCTTTTGAGAAGATACTTAATAAACGATCCGTTACTTTGTAACTACCTATAATATTACTTCATAACTGTCAACTTCATAAACGATCTTAATAGTGAATTTTAATAGTGAACAATCTGCAGCAGTACTAATGTAACATTCAACTGAACCAGGCATGCTCAAGCCCTTGGAGTTGCGAGATAGTATTGAAGAGGGAGCAAGATAGCAGTCCAGTGGGGTGTTTGGGAACGGACACGCTTTCAAGAATTTGTAAAATGCACTAAATTTGAAACGGCACACTTACGCAAGTTAGGATTTAGGGCCCTTTGTCAATGAAGACAAAATCCAGAAATCGCTTGGGTGCGCTGGCAGACATGCGGATTGTTGCTATCAGCTACAAAGTATCACGCTTTGGAAAATTTTGCACATTAAATCAGCAGAAAAGTCTAAATTTTCTAATGGATGGCATTTTGCACAAAATGTAGCAGTAGCCTAAACTCATGAAAAAATATTCATGCATTGATGAAAATTAATTGTGAATTTATGCAACTGCTAGTTTTTGCAATATTTTTTCCGTTCCCATGTGATCGTTCTTTATGTGTCAATAAAAATAAATTCTAAGAAATCATTCCGATCACATTTACTCTTATTCTTAAATAAACTACCGTTGTTGGGAGTGCGAGGACATGTTAAAATATTGTTAAGGGGTACGGACGCCGAAAGAGATTGAGAACCACTAGTCTAAACTGTGCCAGACCTATGATGCAGTTCAACGTGCGCAGCAAGCTATCAGTTATTTTTAGTTCTCTTGTTACTTGTTCTGTGTAAATTCCACTGGTTCCCCCATATCTGAAAACATTTGAATCAAGAAATGCCCCATTGTTTGCGGCTCAGTTCAGTTATGAGGAACTCTTGAGCACATCACCAGAATGTGAGCATGGACAGCTATCCGGTTGTGTAAGAACTTGATGAGAAGCACCGTTTTTCAAAAATCACCCAAAACTGGCTCAGTTTGAAAATTCGGACGGAACAAGTGAACTGCTCTGATATTTGCGTATATAAATTGTGGATGTGAACAACTTCTCACGGTGTTGTTGGACAATGTGTGCAAAACGTACGGCTGTATCGAATAACACGAAATGTTATTCTATCCTCAAATAGAAACGTCCTCTTCTGTTTCGCCGTGAATACGAAAACACCAAAAGAAAGAACATCCGATCAATTCGCATCAAAAAATCGCATCTCTTCACCGAACGCCAACTCTATTCAGTATCATTTAGCGGTTTGCTCTAATCTGTCAGATTTATTGC